TGAATGCTGAGTATCGTTGATTCTGCTACGTATCTGCTAATATAGTACAATTCTAAAGTTAGCCGTAAGGTATCTTTTCAGAGACATTAATTATTGCATATAATGAAAATAGATTTAATTTTTTAACTTTAAATTCTGTACATTGTACACATATTTGTGATGTACAATTGTCATATTTTTAAATTTATTTATTGAAAAAATAATGTATAGTAAAAAAAACCTGCTATAACAGCGGACTGCCATTTATATAGCTTTATTTTTATTATTTATTTCACAGTCTGGCTAGTTATTATATTTAGTTTAGATATAAAAGCGACAAGGAATACTTTTTACGCAATCTTTCAAGTTACTCGTGCATTTTTTCATAAATATTGCATAAAAAAATTTAACACAAGACACTTTTAAATATTTTTGCAGGAATGTTGAAGAATGCATAAGCAGGAATGTAACTACTGCTACTAAAATCGTGTTGAATATAATGTTCATGCTAAAAATCTTTTTTAGTTAAAAAAAAAAAAAAAAAAAAAAACATGAATATTCTTAATTTAATAATTTAGGTTTCTTACTAGAAACGTTTTTTTTTTTTTTTTTTTTTTAAATGACAACTAGGAATGAATATGTATGGAAAATTAAAAAAATTTTTGAATGTGAAAAATTCTAATTGCACTCTTATGTAACAGAAAAACCTCACAATAAAAACAAAAAAATTTATTTATCTTTATATATCTTTATATCTACAGGTTTTCTGACTACTTCCTTGAATACCGGATTTAATTAGACTGCTGTTATGATGTATGTTTATTATGACTAGTTGTTTGATTAAAAAAAATATTTCTTAAAAAAATGAATTGGATTGTCAGATTTATCTGTTAAATAATACAGTCATATAGGAAAATGAATATATTTTAAAATTATATATTAAAGAAATATTTTACTAATTTTTTTTAATGTGATCTATTTTTTATATGTGATAAAATCAATCTCATCGTCAAAATTTTTATTAAGAACAAAATAGAATTAAACAATATAAAATAAAATTAGCTTATTAAATTAATTTTTAACAAGTAATCAGTAATAACAAGTATAGCGTAAACATAATTACAGTTACTCATAAATAAAGATTATTTCGGACGTGAATTCTTATTTATGTTAGCTTATAATTTTAAATATTTGGAAATATCCTAAAAACAAAAGAAATAAGATGCAACCGTGCTTTCTCCTACGCACTGGCAAGATCGCCCCCTGTGTCGTTCTAGAGAAATGGTCAGTAGGCTTCGAGACTCTCACCTGAGAAGAAGTACAGCGCAACTTGCGCTTCCGCTGAGAAACATTTAGTCTACAGTCTCTCATTCTAAGAGGAAATATATTTAGTTCAACTCTGCGTAGTAGTTGGCCTACAGACTCTCACCCGGAGAGAAAGTATCTTTCGCGCACCCTGCGCGTACTTGAATATCAGGTTTTCGGCATTGAAGGGGATACCTTCCATGAATTTATAATTATATGTCTTTAAATTATGTATATTTAAATTATGTAATTATAATTATGTGTTACATATTGTGCCTCGTTAACTGTGTGGGCTTTTTTTGTTTGTGTAAATCAATCTGTGAGTTCTCAAACCTGCGTCTCAAGTCCCGACCCAATCACACCCAGTTACAATCCATCGGCACAACCTACACAATGCAAAGATGGATGTATCGATTTATTATATGGGAAACTATTCACTTAAAAAAATCCTTATTGGCTAGTGTTCTGGTCTTTGGTACCATAGGCTTTAAGTTCGAATCCTGACAGTGGCATGGATGTTTGTGAATGGTTCGGAATCCACTTTAAACTGTTGGTCCCGGTCTAATAAGCGTAAAGTGTGAACAAAATTACCGTAGAACTACAAACCAAACCAAACCAAACCATATCGATAGGTAAAACCGACCAAACCAAACCTAGTGATAAAAGCCGCAGTTAACGTGTCATGAGTGCAAAAGTCCGTTTCCGTTGGTGGCGTCTGTTGCCATCACTGCTTTAAGAAGCTACTACTACACCACATCACTGTGCTTAGAGCCGAGTTGCCTCTTTACAGTTTGGGAATAATGTGGGTGAGAAGTCTGATTGGGCTCTGTGACGTTCTACGATTATAGGAAACCGGGAGCTACAGCTTAAAGTGGATTCCGAACCATTACAAACATCCATGGCACCGCCGGTATTCGAACCGGAAATCTGGGGTACCGAACGCCAGAGCGCTAGCCACACGGCCATCAAGTCTCGCTTTAAGAAGCTAGAAGGCTTGATGGTGATGTTGACTGTGTCCACCTGTTGCACATCATGGGACAACGTAAGTTGGCTGTCTGGCGGGAAATTTTCAGATTTATCTCCCGCGTAGTTGCCACTAAAAATTCTCTTAGAACGCAATGATGTGCTAATGAGCTGTTTGTACAATACGGAACTCGCCAATTTCAAAAATAAATAAATAAATTAATTAATTAATAATAATAATAAATAAATAAATAAATAAAATAATAATAATAATAAATAAATAAATAAAATAATAATAATAATAAATAAATAAATAAAATAATAATAATAATAAATAAGTAAATAAAAGTTATTACCTTGCAGTTTGAAATTGCATAGGACCAACTCTGCAAAGCACTGTTATTACCCTTAATCTATGAATTATGTATAGAAACAGTATCATATAATTTTGTAAATTTTGTGGTTATATTGAGGTTAAAAAGGCATTGGAATGATTCTCCAGCTGTACACGCAATCCCATGATAATTGAAGTAATTCCAAAAAAATAGAAAGAATCTGGAATTATGGGATTGCACCTGATATAAGAAAAGTTCTTATAAAGTATTAATACAATGGTAAAAGAAGTGCAGAAAAGGAGACATTATGTAATTATTACTGTTATTATTATTGTTAGAGAGAAGTTAAAACTAATTTTAATAATCAAACTGTATTTAGTTGTAAGCAAAAAAAAAAATTCTTTGAATAACAAAATTAATGTGTATGTTAAATTGGTTTGGGGTTTCTTTTTAATTGTTTTTTGCTAAATTTAAATATTTCTTAAGGTATAGCTAATCAAATAGCATTCTTGATTATAATCAGAAAAAGAAAAAAACCAATAATACAAAATATGAAAAACATTTATGTCCGTACTAGATGAGTTTTCTCGAATTTGTTCTTTGTGTTAATTGTAGAATTGGTTTTCTTTTCCAAAGCATTTTAATATCAATAAAAAAAAAAAAAATGTATTTATACTTGTGCTGCCATCTGCAGGCTAAAAATAATATAAATATCAAACCATAAGATTGAAATATAAATATTTTGAATATAGCATGAATATCTCAGTAGAAAAATGTGTGTAGTAAAAGCAGATGAATTTACTACACACACTAAATATCTTTAATTAATGTATTCTTTAATTTATAATATTAGTTTTAATATTTATTGATTAATTTATTTCATTATTAGATTTATTAATTAATTTCTTAAAATTATTACCGTTAATCAGATCATTTTAGTTTTGAATTGTAATTTTTTAATTCTATATTGAAACAAAGGTATTTTAGATAACATTCTAAATAGTAATATTCATTGCAATATTAGCATAAAAGGCAAAAAAAATTTCATTTCTTCAGCTTTTATTTTATAACATAAACAGGATTTGTATTTAGAAATTTAAATATGGATTTAATCAAAAATATTAATCAAATTAAAAATATTTAATTTATTTAAGTTATTTTTTATAATTCAGAAGAAAATGCTCAGTTTTGTAATAGAAATAGGTTATCTGGGGAAATTAAAGTGATTTTATTTAAGAAATAAAAGCTGGATAAATTAAAAGAAAATTGCATTAATTATTTTTATTTAAACTATGAATATAGAAGATTTTATACATTTAGATTTCAATTGTTTAACGTTTGCTAAGTTTCTATATGAAATTTTAATTAGGAAAAACAAATTAAGTATTAATAAAATATATTGCACTTAACTTTTTTAATCCATCCAAGCTTAATAATAATTATTCAAATATATAATTATATATTTCAAATGCATTTATACTCCTATTTTAATGCTTTTATAATTATTATTGTGTAATTTGATTTTCATATATTAATTCAATATCTTAAAAAATTAATTTAAAAAGAAAAAAATTATGAAATTCTTGGATATGGAGAATAAACAAAAGAATTTTAAAAAATAACAAAAAACAAAACAATATAATAAACAAAAATTTAATCGGCAGGGCCGATATACGGATAACCCATAAAATTTAGAATTTGATATTGAATTTGATATTTTGATACATATATTAAAAAAACACATTTTCATGTATTTGTTTAATAAAATCATTTGAATTCCAGTTTTTATTTAGTAAAAAATTTAAATTTAATTTAATAAAAAAAGCGCGTGAGAGAAATTTAAATAAAAAAAAAAAATCAGTTAGAAACGGTTCAGGGCATCGCTGACCCACGCTCCCCGAAACAATACCCATATATTTCATGGGTAAAAATATTTTTTTTTAATATTTTGAATTTGGTTTTTTTCTGCATAAATCAATTAATCTCTTAAAAACGCATGAGCTTTTTTCTTAAAGGGAAACTTAACTGAGTTTTGAAAGGTTAGTAAAGGAGCATATAATCAGCTTAGTATTGTGTAAAGGTTCAAAGAAAAGATTATGAGACCTATTAGTATATTACATCTCATAAAACACTAGTCGTACCTTAAACGAAGAGAAATTAGAAACATTGTGATTCGTATAATTTTTAAAATTAAGTTTAAAAGGCATAATGAGATACATAAATATCCAAACTTCCAAATAAAGAGAAAGATATGATTAGATTAAGTTATATAGTCCATCTTCTACATTCTCGCAAATTCTTTTTAATAAAACAATAATTTTTAAATTATTAATTAATTAATTACTTTTGTTGCTCCATTTTCGACATGTTCCCACGTTAATTGTTTTTGCTCCTACACTTATGAACTCATAAACCGCCAACGGCCGTACCATGCTGAATATACCGGTTCTCGTTAGATCACCGAAGTGAAGTCATTCGAGGGGGGGGTGGGAATGGGGCACGGGCATCATTGGGCGCGGTCAGTACTTGGGTGGGTGACCACCTGGGAACACCGCGTGCCGTTGGCAAATTTGGGACCTGATTTCGGTGCCACAGGTTTCGGGTTCGAATCCCGGCGGTGCCATGGATGTTTGTAGTGGTTCGGAATCCACTTTAAGCCGTAGGTCCCGGTCTCCCATGACTGTAAGAGCGTCACGGAGCAAAAATCAGGCTTCTACCTATGGGTGCTCCATCACAACAGAAGCTGCTTCCTTCCCCTTCAATCATGAGCACGTATGGGCTCGTGGGCTTGGCCAGCCAAGTGGGATAAGAAACAACAAACACTCATAAACCAAATTGACTAATTTAAAATGTAAAAACAGCATTTAAGGGCGCTGTCTTAGTGATATCGTGTGCCGCGATAGTGAGGTTAACTCCGCTGACAGCTTTGTTGTAGAGGCTGTTTCAAAAGCGAGGAGACTCGATGGCGTTTGTGATGTTCAGTCTTTGCCTTGTTAGTCAGATTACCTACGGGGAAGTTTTCCGGGTTTTCTCTATATGCAATTTCCCCCTCTTTTTAGTTCTCCCTAAAATGTCCTTCCAGAAGGCACTGCCCTTCTTCAGTGACTCGGAGCCAAGTCAGACTTCAACCTATGTGTTCTTTATCACAACAGAAACTGCCTGTTTTCCCTCCATCCATGTCCATCCTGCACTGCAGGGCACTGAGGATTAGTCACAGCAGTTTAAGTACTAATTATTGTAACTGTTGAGTATTAACTGTAATAAGTGTTAAAGCTTAATTTTCTATCACAATCTTTTGACATTTCTATTTGCTTTAAGAGGAATGACTGCAATGCATTCCAGTAGCTAGATTGAATTCCCATCTGCTTGCATGTTAGCTGTATGCAATATGGCTACGCGATTAAGTTAAAAATAATAAATAAAAAAAAACACTAATTTAACGAGATAAGTTAAACCAGGTTGAAATAAAATACACGTCTGTAACTAGAAATGCCAATATTGTTCAAATTATGTTGAAACTGCAAGAATCATGCATAGTTTTTATTCTTGTAATTAATTTGGAACCGTTTCAAATTTCACTTGAAATGAAATAACACACAAAAAACTAAAAATAACCTGAAATTAATTTTCCAGCTACATCAACAAATCAGCAAATTCGTGCATCCTGTGCAACATTTAATTTAATTTATTTCTTTTGTTTTAATGTTACTTTGATTTAGCGCAATTCATTAAATCTCTTTAGGTATTCAGATCTGTTTTCATTTTTATACCACTTATAGAATTATCCAAAAATCTTGCTATTTGCTTTCTTAACAAAATACAAAGGAAACATTTTGTTTAAATATCTGTTTACAAAAAGGAATTTTTCTATTTTTTTAAAAAAATGATAGCAGATTCTATAAGAATGCAAATTTTCTGAAAAAGAAAATTTTTTCTTATTTGAAGAATATTTCAACAGAAAGATATGCAAAGAATAGATATCAAAGTTTTATTGTAAAATAATAAAAATAAAATTAAAAAATAAATACACATTTAAATTTAGCTTTCACACATTTAAATTTCGAATAAGAAAAAATATGAAAATGTTGTTTAATGCAATTAGAAACATGTTAGGAATTTCTAACATTTACTTATTATTAATTGCATTACTTATTATAGATTTTTATAAGCGTTAATTTAAAAAAGCTTATATTTTTGCAATTAAAAAAATCATATTATTTCTTTACGAAGTATTTCTAAATTTAAAAGCACATTACATTTATAAATAAAAGCAATTAAATTTCAGAAATATATATATCATCACTAATAGATTAATAATAACAATTATCATTGCAAAGTAGAAAAATTTTATTTCATTTAATTATAAATAAATATTGTAAAATGTGTAAACTGTTAAAAAAAACCCCAAAGATTTCAAAAACACAGAGCTTTTAATCCATCCACATTAATTTTTTATGCCTGTTTAACACTTATCAAAAAGTGTAGCATAATGATATTAAATATTATTTTCTACTTATTTATAAATAATAAATAAATAAAACCAGTATTCAAACTGATTTAACGAAAATTGCATGATGCAAAATATTTTATTATTATCTGCAATTTAAGTAAAATATTTGTACAAAATAATAATAACAGATGGCGCCACTACACTTCTTAGAAATGTTTACAATTTAAGAGAGTCGTTAACTTGTTATAAATGACACCATAAAGTTGACTCTTGTTTATCTGAGGTCAGTAAAAGATAATTAAGCTTATTAAGCAATTAACTCCAATTTTTTTCATCTTTCATTTTCACGGATATAATTATCCTGCGTTAAAAGTGACGCGTACTTCGGTGCATGTAACTTTCGAAAAGAAAGTTCTAAGATGATATGCAATAATGATCGTAGTGCGAGAAAGCAGAATTAAAGTGGAAGTCATTACTCAGTCTAATTTAATTTAGTTATTTTCTCTCTTAGTCTTCATAATCGTGTCAGATATAATTTGGTCTTACTGGACTTTTAAAAAAATGATAATTATCTAAAATTTTTCTTAGATACTAAAGATGATGATTTAAAAAAACTATACATTTTTTTTAAACGACTATTATAATTTATAGCCTATTTATCTCTATTGTTATGTTGTAAATTTTAATACAATAAATCCTATTTTATTAAATTGTCATTATTATTATTATTATCGATTATTATTATTTGAAATTAAATTACTGATTTGCAGTTAAATTACTGAAAAAAAAATTATGAAAATTAATTTATTTCATTTTTTCTGAATTCAAAAATAAAATCCGACATGAAAATATTTCTTCCTTATTTAAAGGGGTAATTTTTAATTAAAAGCTTTTTACAGGGGTAATGGATTTAACTTAGAAAATTATAACATCTTATAAAATATTTGATTCTATTTAAATTGTAAGAAATTAAATGAAAATAATAATTAAGGCATATATTTTCGATTGTAAAATATAAATTTAAAATTGCTTACTTTTTACATGGGTACTAAAAATGAAAATGACTGACATTTTGAATTGATATAAGCTACTAAAACAACAGATTCAGCGTTACTCAGGAGGCAACAAAAGAGGAATATTCACTTTCGATTTAAGCTTTTCTAAGACCAACTCGCTATCTACAAAGTCGCTGTGGACCAATATAATTAACATGATCAACATTATATAATAAGGCAATTTTTTTCTTATTTTTAAAAGAGTGATCTGAGAGTTTTGATTCTGCCTTATATAAGTCAAATGATTTAATTTTATTATTCGATTCAATGCAGAATTAAAACATTAACAGTATTTTTTTATTCAACAACTACTCATATTTTAGTCCCGTATTATACGAATTTTAATGTTTTAAAAGCATACTTTCCAGCTATATATAATGAAACATATGTAACAACAAAACAATTACTTTAAGGATAAATAAAGATGTTTTTATTTTCATAATATTTCGCAAATTTCTATGGATATTTTAATTTCTATGCCCCAATGGTGTTTAATTGAATTAATTATGAGTACAAATATGGATTCGTTATTAATTGAATATATTAACAACGAGTATATATCTGTACTTAATTCAATTTACAATATATCAACAGGCTGCGATCAATGAGACTCTATTAGGATATGAATAATAGAATAATATCAGCTTGTTACTCCTTGACATTTTCATTGCATCACTTAAAAAAAAAAAGAGTAGCATCTATTTTCATTGTAATTTCATTGAAAAAATTAATAATATTATTTTTTTCTCAAAATCGATATGCATTATACGTCGATTTAAAATTAAATTAAAAGAAAAAGAATAAAAATAAAATTGTATACGAATTTCTTCAAAATTAAAAAAAAATATATTAAATGTGGCATTTTAATGAATATACTACTGTGCTCAAAAACTAAGACCAAATTATTATTTTTTTTTTTCAAAAACTCGCTATTTAATCTTCCATATTTATTTCATCGCCTTCAAAGTAATCCCCTCCGAACATAATGCACTTATGCCAACTTTTTTTCCAATCCTCAATGCATGCTAAAAAGTCATCAGCAAGGATGGCCTTCAAAGCTCACTGCGATTCACGTTGAATCTCTTCAATCGACTCAAAACGATGTCCCCGGAGTGGAATTGAAAATTGGTCTTACTTTGTGGACACAGTAATACCATATGAATATATATCAATGCAAGATTCTGGAACAGAGACCTGTGAAATTAAGGGAAAATATTGGATTTCATTGACAACAACTATTCACTATTAATTGTTATTGCGCACTAATATGTTTAAAAATTAAATAGTATACACAAAACGAAAGATATAATTATGAAGCTTAAAATCTGATGTAATTATTATATGCACTTGCACTACAAAATTCTGTTCTACATAAAAAATATTGTTACAAAAATTGATTAATTATTTCGATGTATTTTTAAAAGTTTTAACTCTCCATTTATAAATTTATGATCGTTTTACACCTGTAGTTTAACATTTTAAAATAAAGGAGTCTGTTCATCAAGTTATTTTTTATAAACTTAAGTAACATTCATGTCTTTTTTTGCACAACTATGTAGTAACTTATAAAAAAAAACAGATTTAATACCGAATTTTCCCTTTAACTGTATGATTTTTAACAATTTTTTTTTTTCAAAATCTACTGAATCAATTTAAGGACATATTCTCCTTCTTATTTTATTTATTTATTTTTTTTACTCTCCGCATTCCTCTGTTAGATTTTTCTGCGATGTTCAAACTATTTATTATATTTTTTTGTGAAATATGACAGTGTTGTGAACATCTTTTCAAGGAAATTTGATCATCTCCTGGCATTTATAAAAATTCCCAGAAAGATAACTTAAATATTTTACTTCAAGAACTTCCCTTTCATTCGAAGCAACTGTTCTTTAACCACCGTAACCGCAAATGAACTCACTAATGAACGCCCTCTAGCGCCTTCTTAACAAACGCCGAGAAGAAAAAAGAATAAAATAAAATAAAACGAATAAAAGAGCAACGGGCGAAATCGAGTTATTCTGAACATTTATTAAGTTCATTAGCAAGGAGAACTAACTA